ATTGCATACTCAAAAACAAGTCTTAAGAGAAGAATAATACTTTATAATATTAAATTATGTTTTTATGCAAGTTGAAAAAATTGTCACGTTTCATCTTTTAAACTGTAAGTATCAATTTGTCATAACAGTTTTAATTTTTTTCAGAAAACAAAGAGAAATGCTACAGATATTAATTCGAAATATGATTTTATTCTAAACTTTATATGATTTTATCCACTTTTGGACCTTACCATCTGTCATTTTGTTCGAATCAAAATATGTCATAGTCCATGTAAAATTAGGGGGGGTTTAAGTCATCATTTTGCCGGTTTCGAATTTGTTAAGGAACAAGCCTTCAAAGTTTGCAATTTTTGCCCATTTTTGCAAAAATAGGCTTCGCTTACGAATTTTTTTCTCAGAAACTACTCAACCGATTTAGCTAAATTTTTTTTGTTTCATTCATAAAAGATTGGGCTATTTTAAAATATTTTTTTTAATTCCGTCAATTTGTTATAGAATGTTGCAAAATTTAAACAACTTCTTTTTTTGCGTTTTTTTCAATGAAGGACGTAAAGGGTTTAAATTTTTTCATATTCATTGAAGCTTCTCCTTAAAAATGAGTCCTTCAGAAGTATGGAGACTCGAAAACTGCCGTCACTACAAGTTGGAAAACAGTTTCACATCGCCCTAACTTCTTCTACTGCGAAAAACTACAATTATTCTCGGTGTCCATTCAACAAGAATTAAACAAATTAAAGGTCATTAAACTTTTAAGCTTCTCACGCGGGAAGCTTCGACCCGTTCAAAAACAATCGCGAACTGAATCACGAAGCTAACCCATAGCCTAACCACGGCGTTGCGTGTCAAACTGACCGCTGCATTGTGAAACAATGGTCGGAGGTGTTCAGTGAAATTTAATAGGGTTGACCAACGAACGACGAACTCCACGATTCATTCAACCTATGACCATTCTCCGGCGTACTCTCAAAATCGCTTTAACACGATTACTATGCCAATGAAATCTCATCGTTGTACATGGGTACATTGTGATCCAAATTGCTGGAAGCGGGGCCTTATTCAAGGTGGAGAAACATGAATATTTTTTGTGGAGAAACATTTTATTTATCAATAGGAGGCTTTGGGTTGTAGCTATTTGGGGATGTAGGAATTTGGGGGTGTAGCGATTTGGGGATGTAGAAAGTTGGGGACGTAGCGATTTGGGGACGTAGAAAGTTGGGGATGAGGTAATTTGGAAGCGTAGTGATATGGGGACGTTTCACTTAGGGGACATAGCGAACGTAGAAATTTGGAGACGTAGCAATTTGAGGACGTAGTAATTTGGGAACGTAATGATATGGGAATGAAGCTATTTGGGGATGTAGGAATTTAGGGGTATAGCGATTTGGGGATGTAGAAAGTTGGGGACGTAGAAAGTTGGGGGTGAGCTAATTTGGAGGCGTAGTGATATGGGGACGTTCCACTTTGGGGACGTAGCGATTTGGGAACGTAGAAATTTGGGGACGTAGCAATTTGGGAACGTAGTGATATAGGGATGTACCGATTTGGGGACGTAGTGATTTGGGAATGTACCAATTTGGGGACGCATCGGTATGGGGATGTGCCAATTTGGGAACGTAGCGATTTGGGGATGTACCGATTTGGGGATGTTCCGATTTGGGGACGTAGTGATTTGGGAATGTACCAATTTGGGGACGCATCGGTATGGGGATGTGCCAATTTGGGAACGTAGCAATTTGGGGATGTACCGATTTGGGGATATAGCGATTTGGGGATGTTGTAACTTGGGGATGTGCCAATTTGGGAACATAGCGAATTGGGAACGTAGCAATTTGGAAAGGTGCCACTTTGGGGACGTAACGATTTGGGAACGTAGAAATTTGGGGACGTAGCAATTTGAGGATGTAGCAATTTGGGAACGTAGTGATATGGGGATGTACCGATTTGGGGATGTTCCGATTTGGGGACGTAATGATTTGGGAATGTACCAATTTGGGGACGCATCGGTATGGGGATGTGCGAATTTGGGAACGCAGCAATTTGGGGATGTACCGATTTGGAAACGTAGGAATTTGGGGATACAGCAATTTGGGTGTGCAAGAATTTGAGAATGTAGGAATTTGGGAATATAGGTATTTGGAAATGTAGGGATTCGGAAATGTAAAGACATATAGGTATTCGATAATACAGAAATTTGGAGATATTGAAACTCAAAACTAGTAAACAACAAATTTTACATTTATTTCTTCAAAAATTGACAATATCCATCTAATCATATATTACAAGTTCATTCATAAACTCAATCTTATTCATACATCAAGTCACCTATATTTTTACATGTTGAACCACAAATTAAACATCAATAAGAATAACTTGAAATCCAATACTGCAACATTTAATTCATCACTGAATATACACTTCTTCATACAATAACTAATCGATAGAATTCATTTGATACTCGATACGGTGCACTCGATACAGTTCATATGTACTCCCTTGAATTATATTTATCAAAACACCGCGAGACAACCCGATAAAACGTTGTTTGCTCATCTGGAAAAAAAAGTGGGCCAGGAAGTAAGAGGTAGCGTGTCTATTAAGAGATCCGTTGAATATTAATGCCAGGAAACGTATTCCAAGATCGCGTCGCAACGATTAACGAAGCGATTATTAAAATATGCAAAACGCCATCGTAATTAGTCCGTTAACGAAACCGAGAAGACGTTTTGTTCGTCCACTGATTCCCGTTTCTTTCCGGACGAAGACGGGACGCCATCTTGGACGATTTTTTTGCGGTGCGATCTTCCTTGGTTATTTATTAGAACGTGATAGTTGCAGGTTTGTTTTATTGAAATGCAGCCTTCAGTTTGCTTCGTCGGGTCTTCTGATTAGCTGTTCCAGCCAGGTTGTGTCGTTTGATTTAAAAATGAAGGCAATGCGTGTACGAGGCAATGTGTAATAGAAGATGCATATGTAATACGCAACATGTGTGTAATAGTAAACTCACTATGTAATAGGGCCTCACACGAACGATCCTCTTCCGCAAATATTCCATAACACCCAGATAATATTCGCCATTAACATTTTGTTCCTGTGGAACGAATTCCTGAAGTAAAATTCCTTTAGAATCGTAAAAGCAAATTAACATTGTCTTCTCTCGGGACTTCTGGAATCGCAATTTTTTGATTTTGGAGAGCCTGGAGATTTCCACGTAGCACTTTGGCGCTTTGTTCGAGGTTCATACTTGAAGCACCAAGTCTCATCACTAGTTACAATTGATTCTAGGAATGTACAATTTCGTCTGGCTGTTTTGATAAGATCCTCGCAATATTCAACGCGAGCAATTTGTTGCGCTTGCCCGTGGTTTTGTGACACGGTGACGAAAGGTTCTGTCGCATTAAACGCTATAAGTTTACAATTCGTTGTTCGATTCCAATAATGATTATTGTGTTTTGTGGGAGGTACACTTTCAGATAACATATTGTTTTAATAGATAGCGCTATTATTATATAGAGAAATTCCTAGCTGGAACGTCGATGAACCCGTCGATGAACAATATGACGGCGTTGTGCGACAAAATGGCAGCGTTGCACGACAAAATGGCGGGGTTACGCGACAAAATGGAAAGCATACTTTCATATAACATACTGTTTTAATAGATGGCGCTAGTACTTTTTCTTAAATTTGGAAAGTTCCGTTACTTTTCCGACATACTGTATACATGATAATATTGATAATAATGATAATTTTGAAAAAATATATACAGGGTGTCCCGCAATTAGTGTAGGACCCGAAAAGGGGTGGTAGGTGGGGCGATTCTGAACAACTTTTTCCTTTGCCAAAATATTGGTTGAGGCTCCATTTGCGAGTTATTAGCAAAAAACACAGGCCAATGAGAGCGCGCATAGACCGGGTGCGCGAAAGCGTGAGCAAAAGCTTCGAGTGTGACGGCCGATCGTCGTCGTGAACAAATGTATCGATACCGCGTCGGTATAATGTCGGTATAACGTCGGTATAACGTCGGTATAATAGAAAGCTGTTAGATGAAAGTTACAT